CATGCCAGCTGAACGACTTGAGCTCGGGTGACTTAGGCCAGGACGCGGGAGCGGTTTGGTCTCCTTCAAGCACAGTATTGGCATTATTGCTCTATGCTTGCCCTCAGGAAGTACTACTGCAATTCTGTGGCTACGATTATGGAGTGTCACACGTGAGATGACAGCGATACGCACCGCTTGGTCGACTTAAGAAGCATCAAACTTCACCTTGTCGCTGTAATATTCGCCTTGAGGGCCTCGAGGACACCTGACGGCATGTGCAGCACAAAGGTATAGGCATCACGTAGGCCTCACGATCCAGCATGGTGTTCACACGCCTCAAACTTTCATGACATGGGTACTTCTGCATCGCTGCCAAGGTAGGTATGATCTCCTCCCTATTCATATATCTTTCCTGTCTCGTCTACCCATGTCCGTTGCGGTCTTGTGCCGCAACGCCGTTGTCCAGGTCCCACGAGCTATCCATTACGCCGTGTATCACCCCATTTATGCCCAGGTCTAGTGTGGAGCGAGCTTTTCCAAAACACAGTATCTCCAATCATCCGGCGCAGCTCTCTAGCGCGAAGGTACTGCCAATGGTGCCAGTATGGACTGTCGCGCCAAAACTCCTTGCCCTACCGCCACTATTCCTAGGCATTGCGTATTACGGCTGCTGCTCGGTTGCGGAGTCTGAAGCGCTCGCCCTGGTTTGAGTTGTCGCCGTAGTCGGCGTACTCAGATCGCGTCGAAGCCATGTGAAGTGCTCGCTGAAGCCTTTCGCGGAGGGAAGTCAGCCTTTTCAGCAACTTGATCTCGTCTTCGAGGTCCCAGTCGCGGTCTTCGGCCTCCAGGTTGAAAGTGGTCTATTGCGGAGGATTGGTTAGCTATGGTTTGCTAGGCTGAGCTGATGAGCCTTCAGATCCCGACTTACCTGAAGTTTCAAGGCAGCCCAAGCAAGCACCCCGTCTGCCGGAAAATATCCCCGTGTCTGGAAGAAGGCGGCTCGATCTCCCCAGTAGTTGGCCTTGCCGTCAAGGGCCACGACCTCGCGCCGTATATCTTCGCAACGGACCATCTGCGCCAGCTCAAATCTGCGCGTCTCGGCATGGAGCCACCTCGCCGCGTCCACCGCCATTTTTATCCTGAATGGAGGCATACCCGGTTGGTATGTACAAGTGTCGGCTTCGTGTACAGTCGCGGGGTCCTTGCTAGGACGGCGGTCTGTCGGGTAGCGAAAGATGTTAGTCGCGGATCCGCATTGGCTTCTGCTCGAGCGAGAAACTTACTATGAGCTTTGGATAGATATCCTCGCCAAGACACCAAAGTCTTGGCCAAATCGGAATGTGGTGGTGCGTGTATGTCGCAGGGCAGCGAGAGGGAGTTGCGCCTTGATAGAGGCATCGCCAAAACGACCTGACGCTATGACATTTCGACTGTACTCGTCAAAATCTTACGCACCTGTTACAGAAGGATCTTGCGTCTACGACGGATCGCACGGCGGAGAGAGTATGCCAGGGCCTGCGAAAGCGTCTCCCCAATTTGCACGTACGTACGTCACAATGCAGCTACTATTCGATGCTAAGGAGCCGTTTACCTCCGGACGAGACGCAAGAGAGCTGCAGTCCGAAGCACGCATGCCTTTTCCAATTTATTCCGTGGCGATGCGCCTGAAGCCGCTTTTCTTCTCATAACAACAATCTTACATGACGAAATCATAATTCACACCCGGTCGCGACTCTTCATCTCCTTGGCATCTTCTCTTCGTCTTACTCCTTTACTCCATCGCCCACGTGGCTCTACTTTCTCTCTGACTACTGCCTCGTTCTATCTCATATTTTCTCACATCGTTGGGGAAAGGCATCTCGTGGAAGAGGTGTACGAATTGCTGGCGAGCATAAACGGGCACGCAAGCTTGCAGAGCATCTGTCGTAGCGTAGAAGAGCTATAACCGTTGCAACCTCGGGGGTCACAGATGATGAGGAGGAGGATGCAGATGGATGTTTGGCGTGTTATTGATTCGAACACTAATAGAACTATCTTCACTGCTTCAGGACGTATATAAACATGGGAAGGTGATGCTGACTGCAATGAGTCTACCTAGGTAGTCACAGCGAACCAAAGTGTGCCAGTAGTACAGCTCAAAGGTTTCTACGGCCTGCACTCCTCGTCCGTGAACAGCGAAGACCCGCCCATGTTCTCGTCCATGTAGTGTCGGACGCTAATCGTAGAATCTAGCTTGTGATTGAGCAGCTGGTATCGCTTACCTATCAAGGCGTTAGCAAGAACATGAAGTTTTCGAGCGCGTAATTTAAGACGCTGCGCTAGGTGCTTCTGTATATCAAGGTTGTAGCGTGCTGTTGCCGATTTCCCAGTCTATATTGCTGACATGTGTGAACGAAGAATTGACGTACTAATCATACATCAGCGAAACATCTTGAATATATCAGTAGTACGAGACTAAACCGAGTCCAACCCGCTTGCCGCAGTCAACATATCCATCCTCAGTAGGAGACATACCGAGCTGTTCCTGGACCTTCTTGCGAGCGGCAGTGAAGATCACGAGCTTTTCGACCTACTTTCCAAGGTCGTAGTGCTTACCGACCGCCTGCTCTGACCAGTATTCCTGCAATGGTTCATTAGCGAAATGTCTATTCGGGGTGATGGGTACTGAATGGAAAGATGGCGGCTCGTCCCTCCAAGTACATATAAGCTGATTTTGAGCCTCCTGCCTGCGCATTCCATTTCGAACTGACTGGAAGAACTCTCGCTCTGTCCGATAGTGGAGGGCCTTGTTGTTGTAGGTTACGGTCTCGTGCTGCAGGTCGTCGCATAGACGCATCTTCGCGTGCTCTTGGCGCTGCTTCTCTTGCCAGAGTTTGCGGAGACGTTCTTCAGTATTGGTTGATGACATCGCGGTGAATCGTTTTCGACTTGACGGTAGGATAAGCGATAAGGTCGAGGGGCTACGGAAGGAGTCAGTAATGTGATCTCACGAAACTTGCCCCTGCAAAAATGACCTTGAATAACTTGTGGTTGTTCTAGCGACGCTCGTGAAGAACTAATTGAATCAATTGGAGGGTGGTGTGATCTTTGTTCAGAAACTAATCAAGAGCAATGAAAGATTGTAAATCTAGTCCAGCCGGATTCGTCTGAAGCTTTCACTGTCCCCGAGCACTGAAACTTTCGTCACAGCGCGGAGGCACCTACCTGTGACACGAAAAGTTACGATTGTAGCGGAGAGGTCTTGGGCGATTGCTTCGTGGTTTAAGGGAGGTTCCATAATGCGTGCACAACGGGGTAGCAACTCTTAAGCCGATGGCGCTGCGTTGACGATTTACCACTTTTTCGCTATTACTTTACGACTAGTAAGGCTTGTGGTCGCCACTTTACATTCGTATATAACGTCATCGTGCTCGAAAACGTTCTCCTGGAAGTACATGGACGCTGACATGTTGCGAACGCAGCGTGACTGAGGGCATGGCGGGATTATCATGGAAGCTAGCCCTGGAGAGCTGAGAGATGCGATCAGCGAAAAAGGAGCGCAGAAAGAACGGAACGTCTTCGATGTATTTTTGGCTATCTTGTATACCATAGGGATGCTCTGCGCAACAAGGTAAATGAGCCCACCTTGGCAGTCTCCATTAAGATGATCTGCAAGCGCAAGGAACATGCCGAGTCCTTTCCCGACCTACCACGTTGTCGCGCCAATATCAGCATGGCGTTTTGACTTGAACGGAGGATTCGATACAAGATATTTCGATAAATCGACGTAAAAGAACATGTGCACATGTCATGAAGCGTGGACGAACATCGCAGGATGGTGGTCGAGGAGCTTCCTGCGGTGAGTCACCGTAGCTCTGCTGGACGTCGCATGCCAGCCACAACGACTGCGACAGTACCATCCAACATTGACATGTCTAACCTGTCCTCTGAGGTTAGAATAAAGATACAGCTAAACATGGGCAGCAGGGCCGAATGCCAGTTGTCATGCGTGCCGATCCGTGGTAACTCTCGGCTCGTCGGGGGAATGGCGCGGGCGACACTAAGCCTGTTTCTCCACTAGCCCTTCTGCCATTGGGTGTCTTCGCACACATGCCACAGCGACCCTCTTTTAACCTCTCAACCCTAATCCCTCTGCACTGCGACCGACCGAAAGCGCCAATTACTAAAGCAGCTCTATGAGACCCTTCGTGCCCCGTCGCTGTGATGTTCATCGCACCCGTGCCCTCCTCCATCACCGCCTAGGACTTCCCAACGAACTCGTCCTCGACATTCTGGACAGGGCTCGTTACTGGGTCGAGCACGTCCATGAAAATGACAGGACTCTCGTGATTCTGGACGAAGAGTTCTCGGACAACTTCTCCGCTGCGTCTCCCCTCATGAGGATAATCTTTGACAAGTCCGAAACCACGCATCACGAAACGCCTAGCCTCAAAGAGATAGAGTTTCTGGTTGTCAGCCACGACCAGGGCTGGACAACAGAGGGTACGATTGGCACATACAACACCTCTTCGTGGTTCGAGGTCTCTATCGTGCGCCCGCAGTCTCCGCCCAGCGACATGGAAGATGAAATCGTCGCTGAAAACTTCGAGGACAATATGTACCCCCAAAGCAACATCCACAGCGCCATAGACAACATATGCGGTAACCTGGGCTTCAGCAATGTACCCCGCTCTCCATCGACCACGGAGCCACAGAGGCTACATTGCGACGAAATGCGAGCTATGACGTTTCTGCATGATGACCCGTCACGCCCGATGGGTATTGAAGGTCAACACGCTTGGTACCTGCAAGGCAACGAGGTCGCAAGAGCTACGTCTGTCTTTGATGGAGACTTCATTCGGCGATATCGCGTTATCTGGGGATGTAGAGAAAACCCAACATGGGAAGGCAACGAAGGCTCTGGACGTGGCGAGAACTTCATTGACTCTCTACAAGATGGCGATTGGATATGCGTATGGGCAAGAGCGAAGGTGAGCTCGTTTGTTTCAGTGATATTTGCATTGACTAATCTAAGAATCAGAGACGAGGATGGGAGAATCACGTCCATGGCATACGTGTCACCACGCGCTACACGGTATAGCCAGTACCACACACGCTCATGAAGTGTGCTTTGATGCATCTTCGTCCTACGCAATTGCCCGCGTACTGCAATTTCTTCACTAACAGCGGTCGCTGTGTTTGGTGCCACATGCATTAAAACGTTTGCCCGCTTATAGCTTGAAGTCTTCCTACATACCCTCATCGGAAGCATCGACCCCATGCGACAACGTTCCCTCTTATTCTCCAGAAGCGACAAGATGACCAGTAGCATCATTGATGCCAACTGGTCCTCCACGGACCTTAGCTCGAACTTTTGCTATGTGCTCAGCCTTCGCACGGGCCTGTTCGTCACCTGTCGCTTTCTGCTCCACTTTGAGGGTGCGAACAACAGCCGCCTTTTTCTCAAGGGCGGCTTGCTTGGCCGCCTCAATTTGGGCCTTCCGTTCCTTACGGGCTCCAGCTCTAGCCTTGGCTGCTTCGACCCGCTTTTCCTCGGCCCGTTTATGCTCGGCAGCGCGCGCGCCCACACGAGGGAATGGTGCGGGTGTTGGCGATGAATTAGGACGGGTATGTCGAGCAGCAACACCTGATTTATTCGATGACGATGTGCGTGCAGGAGCGGCTGACTTCGTTGGCGCACATGGTGTTTTCGGATGATGTTTCTTCGCGACTGGCGTTGTGGGCATCTCTGTTGTGCGCCTGTATGTTGAAGCTTTTGCTGGCAGCTCTTCATGCTCTCGCTCGCGAGAAATCAGCTCCTCCACGTATTCGTAAGTGACGGTAGCACATTGAGCCTTCATCACAGGATCGGCTGCGTTGTCGAGTCCGGCATCTTCCCAGATCTCCATCAGGCTCTTGAGCTCTGCTACACTCAGACATGACTCAGCCTCATGGCGTTTCTCGCGCAGCACTCGCCAGTATTCAATTTGCCCACGTACCCGAGCGCGCATCGAGTTCTTCTGCTCCTCTATCGTAGGCGCTGTTGTGCAGTCTTCCAATGTAGAGCGAGGAGGATGGTTGAAGGCAGACGCTTCGTCAATGACCTCGCCATCGTTCCTTGCAAGCTCAGCGTCGTAGACAGATCTCTCGCTCTGATTTTCTAATACGGCGAACGCCTCTTGGATTTTGTCAAATACAGCAGCACGCGCGACGCCCTCGGCAGCGGCCAGCAGCGAAGTCTCATCAGGACTGTACATCAGCGCCAGGGCTTTGTATGCTGCACGTATGACTTCCGGTGTTGCGGTCGGGGCCAGCCCAAGTGTTGCATAGTGTGTCTGAGTCTTCATATTGGGATTCATCTCCTGGTATATTCTATCGGTACAGGCATTTGGTGTCCATGCCGGTGTATCTGGAATTGTTTTCTCATGTCCTCACGCCACAGAGTGTGTAGACATTGTGTATCGACAACTCACCTGACACAGCGTTGCGATTGCTACTGACACATCCATGACAAGTCTCAGATACACAGCAAGACAAGAGATATCTGAAGAGGGGTAAAGGACGCTTTCAGAGAACAATCGGTCGCGATGCACCGACGAGACAGCACAAGACTGGGTTTGGGGAACATCAGACTTTGCCCAGTGCCTCCGGCTCAGCATTGCCGTGAGCTCACTGCGACCCATGGACGCCTCATGCATATCCTGCCCCACCCAGGCGCTGCTCATTGCGATTACGGACATGCAAGCAAGACACGGGAACTTTGTGCGCTGGAATGTCGACGCTGTTCGGCGGGCACGCGCAACTTAGGTAAAAGCGTGGAGGACGTTGGCAATCGCATGAGAAATATGGCGCAATTCGACGCGATCGCCATTTCCCATGGCTGCCAAAAAGGCAATTGTGGCAGTGGGGTGCGCTGCCTATAAGCGCATGCCGGTGGGCATTTGTGTGATTCTTATAGGGTGGCACACCATCGCGCCTGCAGGGAGCGAACGTCAACCCTCAACCCCCCCAAAGGGCCAGCGCGAAGCTCAACAACATTCCCCCGACCTCGAGGCTGACGATCAGAAAACAAACGACAAAAGGAAAAGACGCGATTGCGCGAGAACGCATGTTGCCGATGGAGAGTGATGTCGGAAACTTATCTTCAGCAAGCTTTTGGGCAGCCGACCTTCACCGACGTACATGCGAATGGGAATTCCTCTGGACGTGATTTCCTCGATATCCTCGACGCCGCCAATCTTTATCACAACCACGAATATGACGCCAGCGGACAACACCTACATTCACTGCAAATGCAGTCTCAGGATGGCATCGCGCAAACCCAGCAATTTGCGTATGCATTGCACAGCAGTGGTGTGTCGGCACCAGGTAAGCGCAACCCCTCTATTTATCTCCATCCCATCAACTTCATGTACATCATCCTCAACGAATTCCTTTTCCCTCTCATTAGGTCCTTTGCCTACGTATGGACGTTATTCCTGTGCCTCTGAGTTGCCAGGCCTGGATGACGTTTGTTCGGGATGGGATGGCGTGCTCTCGCTAGCTGCACGTGATCGAACGCGGCGACGGGACTTGCGACAACTGCATACCTGCCTAGGGAGGTGTATATGCAAGCTGTGCACAGACGCATGTTGTTGCGTCAATAGTTCGATCGATGAAATACCCAGCGTGCACCGCATCCTCTGGGCTGTTTTTCCGTTTGCCTCAGACAATGGTCACTAACGTCATACTAAGGCCTACCGTACACCTCCGAGGCGCCTGCAATGCCGACCATGACAGGACACATCCCGCAACACTACGAGCACGACAGTGCGCTTCAGATCGGCTTTGATGATCTCCAGGGATTCTCTCCCGTTACACAAAGCTTCAACATCAACGCTTATCGCACGCCATACCCAGACAGCATCGCAACATCTACATCATCCGCCACTTCACCCGAACGCACCAATGCAAGTCTCCTCACCGACCCGGTTGTTGTTGAAGCAGAAGAGGACAAGCGAAAGCGCAATCAAGCAGCTTCCGCACGCTTCCGGCAGAAGAAGAAGCAGCGCGAGCAGCAGCTCATGGAGACGAGTCAAAAGATGCAAGACCGGACTAAGAAGCTCGAAGCCGAAAACGATGGGCTGAAGAAGGAGAACATGTTTTTGAAGAAGTTGCTTGTCGAGAAGGTGGATCACATGAGCGACGAAGATCGGGAGCTGCTGAAGAAAGCCGCCGAAGGCGCGCTAGCTGGAGTAATTGGAAAGAAGTCTTGATTTGTTGATTTCCAGGAGTATTGGAGCGTTCTCGACGGATGGTGTTTTCTCACGTGGAACGATACACGGTGGATGTAACTGGAGGCATAAGGTGCAGTTCATATGTGATGTTACAGTGTCCATATGCCAACCTTTCACATTTTTTGGGGCGTTTGATCGCGCTATCAGAGCAGTAGGCGATTCTATCAAGGCTTATCGTACGTGCTCATTCGGAATACACGAGTTTACTCCATGGAGATGATTCCGTTTACGGCTCTTGGTACAAGAACTACGAATGCTCATAGGATGGGATGGCGTCTGGGTGAAAACCAATTGGAGGCAGACCCCAATCATCGCTCCACTGCGCATCATTCAACCCTTCCAATACGATCCGAATGTCTCCATCCATGAAAGCATCTCCCAATCTTTCATATCGAATCGCGCGCTCAGCGGGGTCTGGCCACGTGTTTGCCATTGTGAGTACCAACAAGCACGTGCTGTAGCTCTGCGTTGAATTGTTGAGCAATGTCGTTTTCAGCTTCCACCCCAGCCCACATACATTTGCTATGATCTGGATACGATCAGAGCAAACTTGGTTCTCACGGCTCTCCATCTTCACTTGTACAGTCTCGATAGCGCCGGGAATATTTGCGGATACCAACCCCGCGTGACCATGTCCCAAGAAGTACGACTTGAGTGCCGAGTTATCTATGCTCATCTGTTGGCATAGGTAGAAATGTGAGCTCAGCTCAAATCGGTATACAACAACATCTTTCTCAAGCGTTGGGACTGAATCCTCCACGAAGCCCTCGAGTGAACTCAACCTAAAATGATGCAATACCGGTGTAGGCAAAAGATATACGATGTTTGCAGCGCAGTGTTGTTCATGGAACGTCCTAGTACGGAATCGTGCTGTCAGTCTCAATGGAAGAGTTGTCTCGGAGAGAGCTCACCAGGATCGAGTGAACCATGGGTCATCAACCATCGACCGCACCATCCCTTTGGTAGTTTGCACTTCAGCGACAGTTTGCGACAAATCTTTCAGCGAACTCAAGCGACTTGGCAAATACATCCAACTATCTGAAACTTTGGACAGAACAGCTACGGTTATTCGACTGAAGCGGTATATCCGATGCATGTCTTGCAAATTTTCCTCCACGTCGTTCGAATCGTCTTGATCGATGCATTCTTGATCTATCCAGATACGCTCGAGCTTTTCAGATTTTGCATATTGTACGACGCGATGAAAGACGATTTGTGGGCACCTGAGTAGCCTAGCAGGTTTTTGCAAGTCGGCGCCATCCCATACACGGTATTCTGGGAGTTTTATTCCGTGAATAGGCTGTGAGTGAGTCCACACGTAAGACACCGTAATGTAGGGGTAACTGTTCAGGTCGGCTAATCGAATTTCGCGAGCGGGTGTGAGGATGTAATCAGATTCCGATCCACCTTGCGGATAAGGCTCTAGGAATCGAAGACGGAGTGGTCCTATTCCGTAGCTTTCGACAAGTGCGATGCGCTCGATGTTTTTGACTGCGTTGAGGAGCGCTTCTCTGTTTCCGTGGATCTGCCGAAATGTGAGTGTTCGGTCGTCTTGCATGACTATGGGTGAAGGCTAAACGAAATTGATTATGTTGTGGAATGTTGATGAAATCCATGAGGTGGCCTACTCAGCCTTGTAGGTTTGCGCAGGTGGTGGGCAATGTCAGCCGTTGTAGCGATTGGACGCCACATGTCCATCTCTAGCTATCAACAACAGCAACCATCACTCTTTGATCAAGAAGGAGATATTGCGCATCTATCTATAGTGTCAAACAATGATTCAGAAAGATAGCTACGTCGCTTTACTTTTCCTTGACTTCATAGTTCATCGGACGAAGATAAGCCCCGCATTCGCCTGCTTCTAACCTATTTCGGCTAGCGGCTTTGATTACTCACGAACGGACTTACGTGAGCTTCCCCCTCGCTCTTGCGAACACCCGAAGTGCGATCTGACAAGGCTGAGGAACAGTCATTGCAATCTTGTGTCCCCCTTACTCGGCCATCGTCTCTCAACTGTGGGGCTGACCAAGCTCGGTCTGCTCGCTCCTGGCCATCAGCGTGATGTTGTAATGCTTCAATGGAGTGGTATGAGAGTGAGTAGGTGGTGTCATGAGATGGTATATATGCAGTAAAGGTATGCCATGAACAGGAACATTATCAACGCATTTCCAAACGCATTCAACGCTCAACTTGACTATCGATTGTCCATCAAAACCTACTTCAATCACTACCAACCCCATTTTGTCTATCTACACTCATAATATCCAGTCTTCGAAATGGCAGCTACGATGCGCGGATGGCAATTCAAGTCGACATCTGGACCCATGGAGCAAAATCTCTCCATCCCTTCCTTGGGCCTTCCAATACCCACCATCAACAAAGACGAAGTGCTTGTCGAGAGCCATGCGACAGCGCTCAACCCCATCGATCACAAAATCCTCGAACTCGGGCTCATCACGCGCCTGGTCTTTTCTGGTTTGACACCTGGCTTGGATGTATACGGCCGTGTCGCGAAAGTCGGCAGTAACGTCACAAGCTTCCAGGAAGGCGACATTGTATACGGCGGTCTCGCTCCAGGAGGCAAACATGGCGCTCTAGCGGAATATGTGCCCGTGTCGCAAAATCTGCTGGCGAAAGTACCACAAGGCCTGAAAGGAGACGACATTGTATCTATGGCGAGTACGGGCATGACAGTATACGCAGGGCTGAAACCGTATGCTAAACCTGGCAATAAAGTCTTCATCAACGGTGGCTCGGGAGGAACTGGTGTCGCAGCAATCCAGATCGCCAAAATACTCGGCTATCACGTTACGGTGTCATGTTCAGCGGCGAACATCGACTTAGTCAAGAGCTTGGGAGCGGATACAGTACTGGACTACGCAACAACACCGATCGTTGAACAATTAAAAGACACCGGCGCCATGTTCGATCTCATATTAGACAATGTGGGGACACCGGCGAACCTATACCGTGCTTCGAGCGCGTTTTTGCGGCCAGAAGGCAAATTTGTTCAGGTTGGCCTTGGCATGAATCTGAGTGCCGCAATTCAGTTCTTTGGCAACAAATTGACTAGCTTCCTGGGCTGGGGGAAGAGAGAGTACATCTTCGTTGCCGGAAATGCGAGTACCGCTGTGTTCGAGCAGCTCGCGTCATGGATGGAGCAAGGCAAGCTTCGCGCGATTATTGATTCTACATGGGAATTTTCGGAGGTGCCGAAGGCATACGAAAGGCTGAAGACAGGAAGGGCAAAGGGTAAGGTTGTTGTGCATGTGAAGGACGGTTGAGAGAGATGGAGTTGTGATATCTTAGATTTCGTTCGAACGAACCATAGGGCCAGATCTTCCTTCCACTACTAGTACTTTTACCAATTTAATCATGTTAAGCTCTCTTATCTAAAGTTCCTGTGTCTTTGCAATAGCTTCATATCGCAGATTGATTGCTAGTCCCGACCCCAGTGGGAATCTGACTGTTACAAGGTAACAAGGAAAGACTCTCTCCTTGACAGGACGAGGGGTTGAAGGCCAACCGGGTCCACGTCGAAAGGAAATGATTACCGCGGGGCGCGGGGGATCACGTGATCTGCCGTCACGCTAAGACAGAGCCGTTAGTGATGACAAGACTGTCCGGTGACAGCAGGCTGTTAGAGGTAGAGATAACCGTCAGTAATAGCGACTAACAGCTCTAAAGGCAGGACCGAAGGCAATAGGTATAAGAATGTGTTAGATCTTATTATTACATTTAGTGTAGTTTACTCAAATAGTTTATCTTTTACACAGATTGTCAACTAGTTAATCTATCGTTTATAGAATTAGATTGTCTTCTTCTTTAGTTATTCTACGATAACTCTTTTCTACACGAATCGCTAGACAAACCCCACAGGTTACTGCTCTAGTCTACCTCGCCTTAGTACGGACCGAGCTTAGAGAAGTATAGCCAGACCCCGTGTAACATGCTGCTACTTCTGCGCACACGACGATAACGACGCAGTAGCACTAGAAGTAGACTCTTTCTTAAGCTTTACGCGGCGCAGCTGCTCCTGCCACACAACGCAGGCTATCTCTATAACGCTGTCCTCGCTAAGCGCTTCGCGGAAGCCAGCCTGCATCTTAGCCCGCTCCTTGTCTAACAACGTGGCGTTGTCTGCGAGCGTAGCGTATACATACCGCTAGAAGTTCCAGCCGGGCGGCTAGTGGGTGCTGGCGGCGTCGGTATAGGAGGTGAACAAGCTAGACGGTTTCGACATGGCTCTAACGTAGTACACAATACTCGCACTGTTAAAGGGTGTTATAGTTTGCTTCTGTAGCAAGGTCGTCTACTGCTACATGCCTCGTCCCCGTCCCAGCCCGCTTAGCGTAGTCTTCACAAGGTCGACCCAAGTTCGTTCGCCAAGAAGAGCAAACCCGACTCGCTACGCTCTGCACTCAGGCCTTCGTTTCCTCATCACTTAGCGTCCCAGCGCCCCTACCGGCCTTTAAGAGGCATGCTGCCTTAAAATTAGTCGCTCATCATCGAACATCACCTCGAATTCACGCCTTGTGCAATGGCTGGGATAACATAGAGCAGCAGATTCTTTTGGATGGCACTTGGTACAGCTAAGCTAGACCAACGCTGCAACCATCTACAAATGAACCCTGGCCCTGACCACCAATACAAAAATTCATATATCAATCTATGAGATCTTTCTCGTGTTTGTTCTTGCCCAGGATTGCCTCAATCTGGCCGAGCCCAAGATTCTCGCCGACGTGTGCTGGTGGGGCCTTGAAGGTGCCTTTACCCTGCCCACTGTAATGAACCTTCCAGGTGGATGCGTCAGAAGAAAGATAGCTCCAACTGTCGTTCAAATACCACCTCTCCGAGCCGACCTGGATAGTCTTGATTGTTCCCATTAGGCCTGGAGCAGGCCGCAAGTTCTTGAGTCCAGCAAGTAGCTTCACCATGCCTACGATATACGTTATGGCAATCTCGCGACCTACACACTCATGTGGTCCGAGGCCGAAACCCGTGATCACGTTGGTTTGCTTGCGGGTTGGGATGAACTTGTCCGCATCGGGTACAACATTTGGATCGCGTCCAGCCTCGCCAAGACATAGCACAATGACCTCACCGGGCTTGATGCTCTTCCCATCAACTGATGCCGCTTGCGTGGCAATGCGAAGATTACGCTGTGCCGTTGTCAGACGCATTGCCTCGAGCGCGTACAGACGTAGCGTCTGATCATCGCCGGCGGCTGCGAGTGACTGCACTCGGCTCCAGTGTTCTTTGTTCTCTTCTTTGAGGAAGAATTGCATGATTTCGCAAAACTGCGTACTCTGTCAACTGGAAAGTTTTGCTTAGATACATTGATGAACTTACGGTTGTAATTGCCACACCAACACCGCCGAGGGAAATCAACCAGCCAACGTCAGCTGTCTGCTCCAGACTCATGCCTTTGGCAAGGAAGCCCTTGATAATCTTGTATCCACATGAGCGAAGGGAGCCCTGCTTGAGGCCGGCACTTCGGGGCTTGTACTTTTCGGAGAATGTAGAGGCAACGTAGCCAGCCAGCCCCAAATTGCCATTCTCGTCTACGACGTCTTGGACCAGATCACGACTTGTTTTAGACATAACTGCGGCACCTTCCTGAGCCCAGCGACGTCGGTTCCAGGCCATGGCGGGGTCGTTGTTGCCGACACCCCACACACGAATATTGAGCAAATGCTTGTAAAGCTCAGCAGTCGAGAGCGAACCACCCTTGTTCTCATCCGTACGGAGGTCAAGGTAGAAGAGATCCGACAGCAACTGCGCATTCAATGGAATCGCAAAGTCGCGGATGATGTCGATTTGGTTGAGACCTTTCTTCATCTCGAAAGACTCCTTGGCTAAGAGTTTCGAGCCCATTTCAGCGACAAAATTGGAAACAGCGGCTTCAATAGCCGGTACTTCATGGAAGACGTCTCGTACCAAGCGCTTCTGTGCAGCATTCTCGGGCTTGTCGCCAGTAAGCATGAACCAACTGAAGTCCTTGCCTGTGCCCGGGAAGAGATCCTTGAAAGGTGAACCCCACAGTACGCCAAATCGCTGTTGATCCAGTGAGATTTCCTTGACAGCAGCCCCTCCACTGATAACGTGGACTGGCCGTGGGCGTTTAGGGTCATCGAGGTTATAAAGCTTCATAGTACCAATTTCCTTTGCAATCACCTCGTTCATCTTTTTCGTGTACATTGGTTGCATAACAGCCAGTGAGTTGTACGGAAACCAGCCCGGCAATGCACGTTGGATGAGCTTGTACAACATGGAGCCACCCAAAGTCTTAAAGTCCGCCTGGACCTCGTTGTAGCCCCAAGCGGTAAGATTGCTAACGGTATAGTCGAGAGTGTTGAACCTGTCAGAGCGGACCAAGGTGATGGCATCCGACAAAATCGCTCGGCCGACCGAATACGTGGGACAAATACCACATCCGGGGTCCATAGCCGGCTTGTGGTTCTCAATCATGAGACCAGGATACATCTCGACCATATCCGGATGGGTATACAGCTTCTCGAGCGTACTGGCGATGTTTTTGTCGGAATTGATGTCGGCAAATGTGGCATGGCGCTTGAGCCCAAAGAAGTCTCTGAATTCGTTGAGACTCGCGACTTGCCATTTCCGCCCTTGCATAATGCCAAGAATCTCAACCACGCGAAGAGCTTTAGGAACATTGCGCGCACCGAAACATCCGGCCGGATCCTCCATGCTCTCCTTCAGTACTCTCACAAGTTCCTCATCCTTGAACTTGCCATTCTCTTGCCTTGATAGACCGCCAAACTCTCGCTTGCTTGGGTCTGGGTCCACGTTGCCGAAGAACTTTTGCAAGCCACCCAAGAGCTCGTACATGTCGAGCTTGTTGATTTCGTCCATGGTCTTGCCCGGGAACTCTGATTGAAAGAAGTCTTCAGTCCACTTCTCGTCTCGCTTGGAAATGCACGAGTGGAAACGGTAGAGTAGATTGAACTCGACACTGACTTGGTTTCCAATCCCACGCGGAGCGCCCTCGGGGTCGAAATGCTTGTCGATGTCAACGCGGGGATCCAGCGTCCAATTACTGTCGGAGTGATGCGTGTTGGTGATAGCACGGAGATAGTCACCCAGACAGATGTTGATGTAAAGACCACCGACGATCAGTCTAGCAGTATTGAAGAGATCGTGGTCCTGTTTAGCAACAGCTCTGGCAATGTCTTCAGGAGATGAGTTCTCGAACTTGGCGAGTGTGAATCGTCCATTCTCATTGATCTTCAACAGTATGTCGGCTACGTAGTTGTGGAATCTGTCTGCAAAGATGGGTATAATAGGTCAGCTGACTTGTCTCACATACACTCGGAGCATCTAAAACTTACTGTACATGATAAGCATGACATTGACGCCCGGAGGTTGGCCCAAGAGGCGCTTCTCGTGGAAAGTGTCTGGCTTTAGCTTGCCCTCCTTCATCGTACGGATCTCCAGCTGATCCGCGAGGCTAGAACCATACAGCGGCGCTAAATCTAGGTACGAAGACGTGTCTGATATGTTCATGTTCGTCCTGTTGGTACGGAAAACATCGTGAATAATGATGGAGGCATGGTAGAACAATACCGACGAGATACCCGCGGGGTTCTCCTTGAAAGTCCCTTCCTCGCGGGCCATGAGCAAGTCAAAAAGAAGACCTGGATCTGGTTTCACACCATGAAGCTTTTTCGATGCCAGTACCGACTTCGCGTATGGCGTGCCCGCCCGGCCAAGATCAGGGCTCAGGATGTTGTTGTAGCTTCCATCAGGGGTTCGGTACTGGTGCATGGAATGAGGTGGCTGGGGCATTGTCTCAGTGATTTCGACGCCATTCTCAGGTGACTTGTACGTGATGCTGTCGGTCGGCTTGTGATCTGACTTGTCTCCCTCAATCATGACCTTGAGGGAACCGCCCATGTAGGTCAACGGGGGATGCTGAAGGTTGTCCCATAGCGTGTCGATCAATTTGTTAGTTAGATTAATTCGTGTCTGCGAGCCCGGTGGTAGAGTGGTGAGGACGTGGATGAGCTTCTCTGTCGATCCGGTCTTGTCATCAAGAGGCTCGCCCTTCTTGAGTAGATCCTGGACAATGGGCAGGAGTTCGTGAGGCTTGATCTTACTGCGCACTGAAGCGTAGTCATGGAGAAGAGCCGCAGTAATCGCTTTTGGGTCGGCAAAGAAGTTCCTGGCCTTCTTCTTCTCACTGTGATAGTCCTCGCCTGCCTGGTATTTGTGGTCCGGGGCTGTGGCTTTGGCGATGTCACCGGAGTAGTTGTACAACACGAATGTTGCTGCACTGGCAAAGGCAGCCGCACCGATCTCCACAACGCTGGCGACCATGATGCAAGAAGGGTAATTGAGAGGCAGTAGTAGATGGGATGATGACGAGATGCAAGCAATGGCGGACTCTTATACTCGCTCACACGATGACCAGGCCCCTACAGGTGCTCCCAGTCACTAGATTCATTCACATCTGATGACATAAGAACAGGGTCTAGCAGTTGCATCTGAAGCGCTACGCAGAAAGGAGGCAATGGGCTCCAGTGATGGCGTCAACCCCAGCCTTGGTCTGCCATATCAACGCGAACAAGCAATTCGTAGTCGCTCTACCCGATGCAGGATTCGGTCGAATCATCGTCATACACGATCTGCTTCGTGGAATGGCACCTTCGCATCTCGCTCTGCCTAAACCGAATTGCGCAGAATCCTGGCGATGAAGCCCTCGAGCCCGGGCGGCATTTGAGGGGAGCCATTGCTGTGGGGCCTCTCAGATCGTCTCGCACCAATCCTTCTTGCATAGGAACAAAATATGGTGGGAAAGAGGAGTTAATGTTCTTTTGATCGCATCCACAGGGCTGCCGGTTCGAACGCTAGATTCGGGATCGCCCGTATGCAGGTGCCGTCTCACCGCCTGATAACGCCGTATCCACCAATAGGATAAGCTGCAAGCCTGCTGACACTCATCTATTTTAGAAAAAAGTATCTTAGGATGTGGGAGTGCGGGTGCAGCCGCATTTTCTCCGGATCGCTCCCGAGACGGATCCCTACATCCCCAGTCGTAGACCCACCGCGTGTGAGCACGTGAGCTGGACGTCAAGTTCTACGTCGGCCATACCCACCCGCAATACATATTCCGCCATTCCTCTACGCATCTCGTTTTTGATTAAGATTAATGCACTGTCGACTGCCCCTATTTTTAGTCATTGTCCACTGAGGAGGCCATCAATCCTTTATACTGTGTGTGCAGGACTGCATCACTCCATCCCTTCGAGCGCGCAACCGGTCCCACGCCTCTCATTCATACTAGTAGCCTCTCTTGTGACTGGCTCAGTATCGTAACATCCACCACCATGCCTCATTTCATTGATGAGAAATCTGAGGCGGGCCCACGTACCCCAAGGAAGCTTGTTCTTTGTTTCGATGGCACTGGCAACGTGTTCAACGGAAACACTTCAGACACCAACATCGTCAAATTGTACGACAAGCTTGACAGAAGGGAAGCCACACAATACCATTATTATCAAAGTAAGCGGCTTACCAGCCTTTGCTTCACGTGATACTTAGCTAAAAGTTAACTGCACAGCCGGCATTGGCACATACCACACCGACGGAGGCCCTATCAACAAGGGTTTCTTTGGAAACATTAAGTCAAATATCTCCAAAGCTATAGACAGTGGCTTTGCCACAACCTTCGATGCCCATGTTATCGCAGGCTACCGCTTTGTCATGCGGTACTACCGTGAGGGAGATAAGATCTACATCTTCGGCTTCTCGAGAGGTGCCTTCACCGCTCGCTTTCTTGCCCGCATGATATACAGAGTCGGCCTGCTCTCGGAGGGCAATGAAGAGATGATCCCTTTTGCTTACGATTTGTACCATCAGTATGTTAAGGGAAATATCGATGCACCCGAGCAAGAGGGAAAAGATTCTCCACCCGCCACAGGCATCGAGACTGACCCCCTCCTTCACCATGACGCATGCGCGGACGAATGTTCAGAACCCGATCAGCAGCAGATCAACAAAAACAAGCTCAATGCTTTCAAGACAACCTTTTGCCGTTCAGAAGGCGATGGTAATCAGGGCATCAAGGTGCATTTCCTAGGCATGTTTGACTGCGTCAGCAGCGTCTCAGTCCTTGACAGCCCCTTTGGCACGGCACCAAAAGCCGTCTCGATTCTCGGGACTGCCCATCACGTTCGCCACGCTGTCGCCGTTGACGAGCATCGCGTCAAGTTCAAAGCGGCTCTACTCCACCAAGACAACAACCATCCTCTCAAGAAAGAAGAAGACATCAAAGAAGTCTGGTTCCCTGGCAATCACGGCGACGTTGGTGGAGGATGGCCAGCCCCGCCACCTCCGACGGACCCCATGGCCAAGCATGAGAGAAGCTGGTGGCGCAAAATCTTCACAAGCTCGAAGGAAACAAAAGCCTCAAACCCAGGCACAGATCCGTATCAAATGAGCGATATACCTCTCGCTTGGATGATCCGTGAGTTGGAGCTGATAGGCGAGAAGGACCCAGCATCGGCGCTCAAATGGGGCCCAAGAAAGGATGGCTTCAAGAGGCATTTCTTCATGAAGCGTGACCAAGCGTATAATAGCCCAAGTCATGACACCCTCAAGATATCCGGCGGCTCCTCGCTGTTCAAAGTCATGTTGTGGAATTTCATGGGTAAGTCTTACGTGCATACATGCCCCCTAACATCGAAGACAACGTATCGCTAACAGATACAAACAGAATGGCTACCCATCCGGCGCTGGGAATTGCTCAAGAACAAGGGCAGCCCAGGGTACGAATGGAAATACATCATGTGGCCGTTCAACCGGGGGGCGTCACGTGATATCCCTGAAGGAGCACTCTTGCACGATTCTCTCCTGAAGAGGCTGACGAGCATGAAGTACTCTGACTATTGCCCAAACAACAATCGGGGAGATGGCTCGGATGCTTGTCTGATGTCCGACAAGTTCGAGCTTGAGGAGGAAGACGAGGGGATGGAGAAATCGGCTGGTGGTGTAGCTGAACCTCGGGGCATCCACAACATCTACACACTCGAAGGCGAGGGGTCGGGTCGTGCGAAAGGGCGCGGAGGTATGCGGAAGAGGGTGTTTTAGTACACGGACTTTCGGTGGGGAGATCCTTTTCTTGCCGTAGGAGCTTCTTATCTCTGTGTATGGGACGCGCATTGTTCTCGAGCCTTTGGTTCTTGTATGTTGGCGACTTGAATACTATTACGTTGTGTCGATGCGAAACGTAATTTCACTGTTCTTCGATTTCTTAAGGGTGTAGACAGAGCCAGTGTAAGTGACGGATGCTCTGAGACTAGTCGGATGGTAAGTCTGACGTCACCGACACTCAACACTGCTTGACGCGGACGAGAGCCACAACGACTATGTCATGTTCAGCCTTGCCCGCACTTTCACCATACGATTCACTATGAAGCTAGATCTAGCAGTTGTTAAGCTTCTCGGCTTGAAGATACTAAGTGTTAGAGTCCGGCAAGATGCGGCATGGCGTTTGGCTTGGCAAAGCAAAAAGTTCGGAAGCTTTCCGAAAATCACGAGCGTCAAACTTTCAACATGCGCGCCTTGACGAGAAGTATACAACCTTTCTCCGCGGCTTTCACTCTTCCGAAACACGCCAACCGCATACGGCTATCAAGTGCGACTCCCTTACCGTCATGGACGCGCTCATTCCACGCGTCGGCGAATCTGAGGGTTGTCGACCTCGCGTATCGGCTTCATGATGACTCGGGCAAGGCCAATGGAGATCCGATTGTGATTGTACATGGCTTGTTCGGGAGTAAGAGGAACAATCAAGGCGTTGGAAAGTAGGGGTTCCCTTTCCCAATCGTCTTAGCTGCGTTGGGACTGACAGAGCATTTATAGTGCACTCGCACGCGTCCTGAAGCGTCCTGTATACGCTATCGACACGCGAAACCACGGCGAATCCCCCCACGATAAAGTCCACAACTACACCGCCCTCGCCGAAGACGTAGAAGCCTTCCTCCAGAAGCACGAGCTGAAAAATGCGACACTCATAGGCCACTCGATGGGCGCGAAGACAGTCATGACCATGGCGCTGAGAAATCCGGACTGCTGCGCAAACATCATACCGGTAGATAATGCACCGGTGGATGCGGCGCTATCAAGCGACTTCCCCAAGTACGCAGAAGGCATGCAACACGTCGAGAGGTCACAGCCCAAGAGCCAAAAGGAGGCAGACAAGCTGATGGAGCCTTACGCAAAGGACCTGCCAGTTCGCCAATTCTTGCTGACGAACCTGATGAGAGGCGAGCCAGGCGCGCCTCTCAAATTCCGTATACCCGTGAGCATCCTCACCAAGGCGCTCGGCAACATGGCCGACTTCCCCTTCACCAACCCCGATGAGGCCTCTTTCAGCAAGAGAGCTCTCTTCATCCGAGGCACCAAGAGCCACTACGTAAGCGACGAGACACTACCGATCATCGGTCGATTCTTCCCGAGGTTCGAACTGGTGGACGTAGACTGTGGCCATTGGGTCATTAGTGAGAAGCCCGAGGAGTTTATCAAAGGTACGCAGACATGGCCTGAATCACGTCTTGATCCAGCTAACACGTTCCAGCGGTTGTGGATTTCTTACAGGAGAAGGAGTAGATACCCAAACAGGATACAAGCAATACCACATTATTTGTAAACACTCATGCGACCAGCGAAATCATGATGATTGTCCCCGTTGCATGGCAAAGCATAGGAAACCAGATTTCACAACGTTGAAAGTGGGCTTGGAGAACCGGTTTCATTGTTAATGAGCGACAGGAGAACCAACACCTAATCCATCCGACTCAACAGATCCGTCTACGAACCTATCCTATACCGTACCGAACACCCTTCCCTTATTCTCCGCGATCTGCCCCTACTCGATATCCCGACTACAAGGACTTGTACGAACCAACCCGGCCGGAAAAGCATTGCTCTACTCCAGGCTGGACATCCACGTAGTTACCAGCTCCACAGCCCGTGTTAACGTAGAAGCGAGCTGCAATCTCATGTTAGCCTGGTTCTGGTTCCCCCCAATCTCTGTCACATACTGGTTCTGGTAAAATCATTGATATACACCCTGAAGCTGCCGTATGGCGCCGTGTACGTGTTGTCCGTGCACACATCACCCTGGAAGAAGACAGTGTCCTCGAGCCATGGCTCTTCGCAGCCCATACCGGCGTAGAAGCGGATGATGGCGACACCGTCACCGGGAGCCTGGCGCTCAGCAATGGTAGAGGGGTTGGGACGAGCGCTGATGCTCGTGGCCGCGAGAGCGGTGACAAGGGCGATGAGGTTGGTGAGCTGCATTTTGGATGTTGCTGGACGAGAAAATTCCCGAGAATGCTGGTTGCTAGACTGAAAGATGGAAGCTGGATGATGAGAAGACAATGGTATGAAGAGCCTGTCTCTTACACTTCTTTGCTACCTGTCTCCCTTTCAACGTCTATACTAGCAGTACGTTGATGATGCACTAGGTGGTAAGACCTAACTCCCTTTCAAGCTTCCCAACAGTCGGTCAACATCGCCACCAACCTGGTAGTGTTGTGGTCATACGCTTCCAAGCCGCCACACATAACCGGATGAGGTATCTTCAGAGCCTACGAGCCTCCTATGTATGCCTCGCTGCCCGTATCATGGGTCAGAAGATGTGGTATTCCACGCTGTGATACGGGATCTGATCTTGCATTCGCCTGCATTGTCTCATGGCTGAGGACTGGATTGGCTGGGATATTTGTGTCACCAACGGAGTTGCTCCCCGCGGCCGTATCTTGGCTCCTGCGCATATGTTGGTGGATGAGTTCGTGGGAATTCACTTGCGCATCTGACGAAAAGCTGACGGACTACTTGGGATCAACGATCTATACAGGGAACTTTCACTCCGATTCTAGCCTCTCCATGCCGCCTCAAAACCTCAGGAATCTGTATTCAAACGCGATGATGGTGTAACAAAGGCTCCTCTCATCTTTTGTCTGGCCCACTCTATGCATCTACTGCATACGTATCATCACCAATACTTCTACTGCTTCGCCACACATAGGTGCAGTGCTAACATCAACGCCGCCAGTTCCGACGAGCACTTTCCTGCCACGCTCTTGGCTATGTAAAATAAGCTGACACGTACACAGCGGATTTCATTGGCATGGCGCAAATACCTGTGCACGTGGCTGCTCACCAAGTCCACAAGCAGCAGGTCAACACAATTACTGTCGCCACATCTGCGTCGACTACGATTCACCGTACCAAAAGGTCTTTCAGTGCCCCTAGATACTATGAACACTCTCAATACCAGAGCCGGTGTTGCCGCGACCAGGTTACGACACTATTCCTTGAATTGGATGCACAGGAATGATTCTTAGGACACGGGCTGTAGTCGCTTAAGCAACATGCATGCAGACGCGACGGCCCATCGCGCTGACGCGACACGGGATGTGTGCTTGCCGCGACCTTCCGTTTCCCATCCAGACCACGCTGTGATTTGCCAGACTCGAGGTTGGCAGAAACCTCAGTCGCAGGAGGCTTATCGAACTTGTTGCATATCTTTTGCGATTGGATCGCGGCGTCGGCTCGGGTCTTGGTGCAGGCGCGCTTTGGCACAACATCGCCAAGTAGTCGAACTCTGCGCATGAGATGACACGGAACTGAATGTCTGGACCGAGAAAGATGGATAAGATGATGCTACTTGATGAACAGACGCGTCGCATGCCTCATGCAAGTTCCCGATTATCAGCCCTCCCCGCATCACTCTCCCACCTTATACTTCGCCACGACCTAGTTCCTCCATCGCTAGATCCTTCTCCCGAATTCTCATTTGCTATTATCATCTCAACTCCGTCTGGGCCGACGCTCGCACCCAAGCTGGTCGTTCTAGAGCCTAGAGACGGGCTGTTGTGGAACTTGGGATTGCGTGCAGCGTGCACTAGGTCCTGCATCTTTTTGCCGGGCATGGCACCATCGCGAACGTAAGACGTTAAGCCAAGGATGACGCAGATGATGGCGAATGCGTTGGCGAGGGCATACGGTATGAACAACCCGCACGCTTTGTAGTCGTAGCGATTCACGTCGGTCGTCAGTTGGACAGTCGTGTTGACCATGTTGCTGTATTGATCAGTTTATAATTCGATCGAAAAGCGCTCGTTCACTTACGTCAGTAGTCGGTTGTGCATCATGCTGACTGTCAGATTGAAGCTTAGTTCTTCGATGAGAACGTCCAGCGTCCGGTTTCTCGCCATGGCTTTGTCCTGCAATCTCTGATCACTGAGCTTGAAGGCTGTTGACATATTCTGCCCTTTGTACAGCACCTTCTCTTCGTCAAACTCGAAGTATGCATCTAAATCAGCAGAACCTAATAGACTAGTACGCTGTATAGGCGAGTCGATGACACCGTACTGAGCTGCCGCTTGCTTGTCCGAAACACTCGTGTCGTTTAGCCATGCTAGCTTGCCCACCAGTTGGTCGCACACAACCCACATGAATGCTGTATACGCATGTTGAGTCATGTTGGAGATCTCATCAGGGCCCTCTTCTGGAAACGATATCGTTTCACCAACTTCGTATGTGCCAGAAATGTTTTGCAGCCCATGATACTGCGAGATCTCCAAACTGTAGGAGGCATTATGTGGTCGACAGATCTGGTACTGGCGTAATTTGACTCGGTCGCCTCGATCGTTAATCATAGGCCGTAAGAACGTCATCCAAAGCTCGTTCATCGGTTTTGAAGGTACATGTTGACGTGGATGCGAAATCGCTGCCAGGCCTCCAGTGCTGTTATGAGTTGGCACAAAGCTGAAGTACGCATTATCCGTCTCTATGATTGTGCCATCCACTGCTGCCATTTCTTCTTGCAAGAAATCGTCGATAGCATGCTGTTCGGTCTCATTGGCCTTGCCACATCTAATTACCGGAGCATAGAAATCGACGGTGTAAGCGGAATTGTTGAACGGCAGATCCAGCGGTAGTATCTCACCAAAGGACGAAGTCGCAGTAGCCAAGAGATTCATGACGGTCCTTGGTCCAGTGAAGATCCGGTTCCTGTCATCAAAGAACTGTGTCGTACCGGGCCGACTGGGCGGCGAGTAGGTATATCGATGCGCTTCGCTGGCATTTGCGATGGATGGATGTGGCATGGCTGCAATGATATTCTCAACGTTGGTGCCCTCGACTATGAACAAAGTCGCAGGCGTGAAGAAAGGTGGAAGCAACAAGCCCCTTCAAAGACATTAGCGAAAGGTCGTTTGCCAAGGTCTACTACTCACCATGCCAGACAAGCCATTACCGATCCTACCTTCAGTCGCTTCCACATCTCCATATTAAGCAAAGACAATACTGATGTATCAGCCCCGAAAGCTGAGTTCAATACCTTGAACGTCATATCTTTCTTCATCAATGTCCTCCAAAGCCACTGGGTGTGTGCAGTCCAGACACTTGCGCCGAGGCAGATCTGAGCGAGGAAGGCAAACGCAGTACCAAACCTGGCTTTGTTAGTAAGTCTTATAAAGGTCATCTCTAGGTATCGCACTACCTGATTTTCTCCTCTTGCTGATCGGCTTTGCCCACTATCTGTCCCTCGAGCTTCGGATAAAAGACGCAATGCGCAACACTCATCACTAGGCCAAGGAGTAGGAACATAATCATGAGTAGTGGAGCTTTCCATGCGTGGATACGACGTCCCTTCCAACCAGGAAACGTTCGAGAGTCTTGGCGTTCTGCTATCGGTCTGATTGCCGGAGAGGGTGGTACTTTTGGTAGCAGATGCGCATTGAATCGTGTCGAGCGACTATCATCCATCACCTCTCGCGTTTCAATCGAAGCGATCTTCATCAATTTGGGTTGTCCCATAGCAGCAGTGTCTAAGAGTCTCTGGGGCACAAGGGAATACGCTGGCCTAAGTAGTATCCGAAATCACGAAGGGCCAAGCAGACGTCTGCTTCACTGAGTTGCAGAGAACGTATCGCAGAGAGATCGGGACAACATAAATAGAAGAAGTGGCACCGAAAGAAGCGAATGACCCTCTATTGATCCTTAAATGGCTCGTTGGGGGCCGCTTCATCGGTATAATATCGGTTTAGGCTGATGTATGTCGAGGAAGTGGTAGCAAGGCTGAGCTACATTTTTGCGAGCAGGTGTGCCTGCATATGCCTGGTCCCAAGAGTAGGCATATAGAACGAGTGCAGGATTGCGAACCAGCTGTTCTTCACAGGCTGTGCGCAATGCCGAGACGAGTGTTACGAGGGTTGAGCCTCATTTAGGCTGCTTATCGGGGTTGGGTCCTCACGCTGGTGTGTATTGAACACAAGAAGGTTGCATTTCTTTTCTTGGCGGGTTCTTATGATCAGAACCTTATGCATAGCCCTCTGATAATACTGGGCCATGTTTGGAAGAAGATTGTAACAGTGCGTAGCAGGTGAACGGTGGGGCTAGCTGTGGTAAGGGTTAGCGATTACGCTCAGCCACCACCAAAATACCAGGATTAAGCAACTTCGACCCTGACTTGGAGTACAAAATATATTGCAAAGAGGCGGAGTGTCAGGTGATATCAGCTGAGGATTCTGCGGGCATGGCGGTCATCCAGTCGTGAAATTCCCTGAAGCAACGTGAGAGAATGGGAATTGTTGATTGGGAGGAAGGACATCCAAAAGGACGACAATGCCCTATTTTGACCCCATAGGGAGATTCAAAGAGGCCCATTTGACCAGCATCTTTTCGCAAACGTATCTCGTATGACAGCGCTTCTCTTGGGGCCGGTGAAGATAGTCTAGCCTAAACCCAAAAGAGGGGGTATCCGTTCGGCCCAACAACGCCGTCCATCTGGACAGGGCATCTGCTCGCATCAGTACGGAGCGATGCGAAAGTCTTGTCCGGTTTTGAGAATTTACCAGCGACTTGGATAGACATCGATGTGGTGCTGATGTGTGCAGATGGGTCCGCTTTCAGGGCAGGGAGATGTCGGGTAACGTACCCGCGAAGCCATTGGCCAGATCAAGACTGCCGGCCATGCGATCGCAGTTTGTGTACCACCTCACACAAGGAAAAAGCCGAACACCTGGAGGCTATATCAAGATAAAAACATGCAAAGTAGGTGGCCTAACGTCAACGTAGGCTCCAGGGTGTTCGGTTTTTTCCTTGAACGAGGTGGTACCAAGACTTTTGCTGGTAAACTATGGCAGTCGTTGCATTCCGAATGCTTGTGTCAACTGTCCTAAGGCGGCGTCAACCCCCAGTGGTGCCCAATGACGCCGCTGAAAGCCGTGTTGTGTGGAATGATACGTATTGTATTTGTCTCCCTCTTTAAGAGATGATCTCTCCCGTTCATATGACGCGTCAGCTGGTAGCATTCTGCTGTAAACATCCAAGCAGAAGTTTCACGAGGAGATCCCTGTCTACAGGCTTGGCGATGTACCCTGTCATTCCTTTTGCAATGTACGACTCCGCCTGCCCTTTGAGAGCGTTTGCTGTCATGGCTACGATTGGAACATGGAGTCCATTGGCTCGAATCTCTTTGGTAGCGCTGAGCCCGTCTTGAACAGGCATGTTGACGTCCATCAGAATCAGGTCGTATTCATTAATAGACGCTTTGGAGACCGCTTCTTTACCATCCGGTGCCGTGTCTACGCTGTTGAACCCCATGCCCGCAAGCATACGCGTCATAACCTTTCGATTGATGATGTTGTCTTCCGCAAGTAGCAAGCGTTTGTCAGGAGCGACGGTTTTAAGTGTTTCCATCGGGTCTATCACCAAGGGAGATGGGATGCTCAATCCAGCCAGACCCTCTTGTAGAACCTCCAAAGCTTTGAGCTGCTTGCATCTTTTGAGCCTGGCGGTAAACCAGAAAACACTACCTGGACCTTCTGGATTAGGGTGAAAGCCAATGCTTCCACCCATGCGCTCAGCCAGCGACTTGCAGATACTCAAGCCCAATCCTGTACCCTTGTATCTCTTGGTCGTGGAGTTGTCAATCTGAGTAAAAGGCGTAAATAAAGTCTGTGAGCCACTTGCCGGCACTCCAATACCAGAGTCTATCACTTCAGTCAGAATCGTGAAGTACTCTTGGTCTTCCTTTTGCAGTCGCGCAACTATTCGCACATAGCCTTGCTCGGTGAATTTTGTCGCATTCGATAAGAGATTCTGTACAACTTGTCGATAACGTAGAGAGTCTCCTTCAGCGGAACTGGGTAAGTTGTCGTCCATATCGATCTCGAGCTTGACTTCGGGTCTCTGGCACGTCTGATGTGCCCGAAAGACAGATTGAATGATATCCTTCACACTTATAATATCGTTACTGATAGAAAAGCTACCCGAAGCGAGCTTGCTGAAATCGAGAAAGTCGTCAATGAGCTGAAGAAGCACGTCCCCAGACTCTTTGATAATATTCGCCAGCTCTTGTTGGTTGTTGTCCAGCTTGGTGTCCAGTAGTAGCGTTAAAGCGGACAGCATACCATGCATAGGCGTTCGGATCTCGTGGCTCATGTTGGCTAAGAACTCCGACTTGAGTTTCGATGCTTCCTCATAGGCGGCGATAAGACTTTTCTCGGCTTTCCGTCTTTCGGTCAAATCTCTAGTGATTTTAGAGAAGCCGAGGAGAATGTTTTCCTCTAAATAAGGGTGAATGAAGTCAGTGTATGTCTCACGTATAGTGCGTGAGGAGAAACTTACTGTACACCGGCGTGATGACAACGTTCGCCCAGAACCTGGAGCCGTCTTTGCGAAAACGCCAGCCTTCGTCTTCACATCTTCCGTCGCGAAGGGCATCTCGTAATTCCCTAGATGGCTTATCATTCTCACGGTCTTCTTCCGAATAAAAAGCCGAGAAGTGTTTTCCGATGATCTCGGCTGGAGTGTATCCCTTGAAACCCTGGGCTCCTGCGTTCCACGTTGCCACATGCCCCGTCGGATCAAGCATAAAGATTGCGTAATCCTTGATGGTTGCTACCAGTAACTGAAATGTCTCATTCTGATAAGAGCGTTCCCTGAACTCAAGCTGTCGCTGATGTTCTTCAGTGATGTCGAGGAATTCCATCTGGATGCAGCGTAAGACTCCTTGGCGCAGAATTGGGACTGCTCTAAGGTGCCAGGCGATACCCGTATCTGTCACGCCTTTCGATTGCTGGAGATTGCCAGTTCGACACGCGGCGCTTACTAGCTTACGGGCTGCAGCAAAAGCAGGAATAGTGGAGGAAATGTCGAAAATGTCATCAGCATGTCGGTCCACAAGATCAATGCGATCTCTTGCGTTTGAGGTAGTCACATAACTGATAAAGGTCAGCAAATAGTAGGCATTAGAAGCTCCTAGTCGTAGGCTGTACTAACGAATCTGAGACATGGCGCACAAAGAGCAACGCGTCTAAAATCACAGTCGGCGCTGGTGTGAACCTGATCAGGTCGTATGCAAGGCTGTTGGGATCGTAATCGTTGTCCGCCCTCGAAGACGGCGTCGAGAGATCGTCAAGCACAGTTAGCGATGGCGATGTTGGCAGCGCCCCCATGGGCGCGGACATAACTCCGAGGGAACCGAGCTAGCCTCCACTAGGCTAGCAGTGGACACTCGTGGTGTGTTGAAGAGGAATCGTACGAGTTTTGCATAGCAGAGGGTTAACAACCGGGGTAAGACCAGGCTTCTGTGAACACAAATTAATCAGGTTGCTCCTGCCGTGAAATTTGTGTGACCTCCGCGGCAACGGCAGGTAGTTCCAGAATGGGCGATACGGTGACGTCAGTTTCAGCCCCTCGTTTGAGAGCTGCCAATGCGTTTATCACGACTCTGGAAATACTGGCGACACGCAAATAGAGCTTATCTCATGTCGCAGGATGCCACACTGATATGATCGCCAAAGCAATACACTCGCTCCAATTCTTCGCTTCTAGTAAGCTCCACTTTTTCACCCTGCACTGGGCTGTCCTACCGATGTCCAAGCAAAAGTCGTTTGCGCTATTCCAAGAGACCACCAATTAGTCTCACAAGGAAGCTATTGGGGAAAAGCTTGTGCGCGCATACAAGCGAAGCTTGCCACAGTGGAACTTATGTGGCGTCTAGGACCGGCCCCCCAATGCCAGCCCATCAGCCGTCAAGCTGCTTCAACAACATCAAGAACCTCAAGAGCATCAGCACGACTAAAATTACCGCCAAATCTCTTAGTGTATTTCGTTGAATGAGTGCAACGATGGTTGTCCAAGTATACGAAAGATCTTGCCCCCATCGTCCTTTGGAAGGTTCCGTGGACATCGTACATCTGCGTCGAACAACTAAGCGCGATGTGCTCAATGAAGTTTCGCAGCTTCCCAGCTGGTCAAATTGTACTTCCGATGCACTAGAGACCTTGTCCTCCATGAATCAGGAACACATTTTCTCGAAGCTGTTCGCATACAACCTACAGGAGCATGGACCGTCTCTCACTTTGTGGTGATGAACCTACACATGATCATCACAACATATACGCTCTCGCTTACCGACTGCTATCTCAGACTGCTATTAGAGCTGATTTTAAGCGGTAACTTGACGTGGAACATTCGACTCAAACCCTCCTTCCTATGATGACCACCAATCCGACGCCTTGGTCGAGTGGTTTCTACAACTGTATATGCGTCTCCAGTATCAAGCTTTACCTCATCTACCAACCGAACCTCGAAAAATGGCGTGTTAATCAAGCTCCTATACACTTCAGGTCTTTACGACATCATAATGGACAAGCGCGACTGTTTGCAATCACCCGCGCAGGCGCGTAAGCGCTGTACTTTGACAGTTTCGGTAACAAACTCGACGAGCTCGCAAGACACAACATCAGAAAAGAGCATTGAAGGCTCGAAGCCTCTCACTTCACCATCAAACTCAGCTGCATACTTGTCAGGGTTGTCTCCTGCGACTTCTGGGTCTTCCTCTCAGCATGCTGGCGATGCTAAAAGTTTACCCTCACTTGGCCATCTTCCAGGAACGAATGCGGCCCATATCTCTTTTGCAAAGAACAATTCGATCAGCACTCCAAAGAAAGTTTCCACCTCTGCCAGAATGGTCACTCCGGGCCTTCTAACCCCGGAGACTCTCCGTGAACCGTCGCATGATGGTACGGTGGTGCATATACCTAGTACCCTACATACTACCACAGGATCTTTTCCCATCTTCACAACAGGCGATGTCTTCATCAAGACGGAACTGGTGACTCCACCGAGACGATGGCAACTGCACAGCAACACACTCACACGGTTCTCCCCATGGTTTTCAAGGTCGCTTTCAAACAGTATGATGCCCACAATAGGGCCGGCGTGGGCCTCGTACACTATTGAAGAGGTTGATGGTAAGGTTGTATTGGTACAACAGCAAACTACCGAAGAAAGGTCAGTCATTTCAGATACCGGGAGTCATTATGACGCCGACATTGCAATCAAGACCGAGCACGAGGATTCCGACTCAGGCAATCCCTTCTCTATCACTCCAGACCACACCGCCACGATTGACATCTACAATCAAATCTTCAGCGCATTCTATAGCGTTCCCATAAACATCCCGACTACAAATGTCGCCGCCTCTCTCACTCACTCCGAACATCTTACGAAGCTCGCCGGAGACCTGGGCTGCTTGGACAATCTTCCCAACCTAAAATCCCAGATCAACGCCACGCTTCTCCAGCACCGACATGCGCTTCTGCGTGCAATCAAAAACGACCCCGCACGCTGGATCCTTGTCTCACTCTCTCTCCACAACGACTCCATATACACGGAAGCGCTCATCCACATGTCGGGCGCGCACCCCAGCTGGACATGGCCCACGCCGCGCTCCGCCCTTCCAGGAGAGATCCTCCAAATCATCATCGCAAAGAGCCTCGAGCTGAACCAGCGCTGTACAGAAGTCGAACGCGATCTCCTATCACTCACCATTCACGTCGGCCGCGGCGCAAACAGTCATCCAGTATCCCTCCTCACGAACTCTGAATTCGACACATGGTTCATCGTTTCGACATTCCGGTCCATCCTCGCACAAGAATTTACCAACCTACACGAAGACCGCAAGGGCTCTCTTCGTCGCGGCACCACTTACCGGAAGATCTGGAAGGGCGAGGGATACATGCCGTACGAGGATATGAGACGCATGATGGAACAGGTCATGCCGTCTGCAGTACCAAATCTGAGCGAAGATCTGGCGATTCTAAAGAGAGAGGCGAGTGCGTATGTGGCGGATTTGGCGAAGAACGAGTCTCTGCTTGATGTGGAGAGGCAGAAGGTGGGGTGGCTGACTTGTGTCAAAGTGGGCAAAGGGGATATTCCTTGGAGGGCCGGGGAGGGAAAAGACTGAACAAGTGCGCTGCTGTCTACATCAGTGTCAACCCGGAAGTTTGCAAGACCTCAAGGTGATGTAGAATTCTGGGCCATATATTTTACCTAGGAGTAGGTGTTCCATTTGTTCCTTGAATGAGATGGAAGGGACCTGATTAAAGGACTAGTGGTGGAGTCATGGCTTATGGGAGCGCTACTGGGACGTCTCAGATGCAGTCGAAGGTACGGTCATTGCGAAATCGCGGCATAGTGGGCACGGCGCACATCAGATCTTGAGATTTGTTCATTGTTTTCAGTGCATATCTTATTCATATTTGTACACGCATGTCCAGAAGTACTCAAGTTAAATAGATTTATGTCCAGAACGCGTAAATTGGGGTATCATTCTTAGGCCAATAGAGAAATTATCAACAACAGATCACCTCCGCGAGGTTCCTCCGAACCCAGTGCTCTCATGCCTGGTGCTGGAGAAACTATCACCAGATGAACTCCTTGAGCTACCCTCTCCGCCGTTGTTCCAGCGACTGCCACTTCCGTTCCCAGCGCCCCGGCCGCCTGTCTGGTTGTTCCGGTTGCCTCTGTTGCCAAACTGGCCCGCAGCCCATCCAGCAGCGGCGCCACCTGCCGCACCAGACCAGAAGCCAGGTCTCCAGCCTTGTGTCGGTTGTGTCGCACCGTAGCCCGACTTAGGGTTACTGGGATTGTTTGGGTAGTATGGTGGAGGCGGGTCATCGTTGTCGTCGTTGTAGCCTCCTCCCCATCCACCACCGCCGCCGCCACCTCCCCAGCCAGGTCTGTTGCCTCCTGCTGCGCCGCCATCCGGACCTTGTGCGCGGTTCCTCAGCGCAGAGTATATCATCCACAACACGACACCACCGAAGAGCATCCAGAATAGTCCGCCCGCGATCTTCTCGCCCATGGTTTTCGGCCCGTCAGGTCGATCGTCGTCGTCGTCGTCGCCCTGCCATCTCCCTGTTCCCTTGCCATACTTCTCTTGGCCTTTCTCCGTGAGGACAAGGCGGTACTCTACACCGCAGCTTCCTTTCAAGATGTATGGGTCTTCGGGGTAATCGTAACCTTCACAGATGACGTCTGTGGAGCCGAGTTTGAATTCTTCGGGTAGCGAGGCGGTGCAGGTCCATTGTATGGAGTCTTCGTCGTAGTCAGAGCCGCTGTTCTTGCAGCGCATTATCTCAGGTTCGTAGAGGCCGCGTGCGGAACCACCGATGCATTTCAGCTAAGATGTGTCAGTAGGCGGCATGGAGGGGTATGCAGAAAGGCGTAGGATGAACGCGTACCTGAGGGATAGGGTCGACGCGTCGTGCAGAAGTCTGCTGTCCTTTGCGCAGTGTGAGACTTTCAATCTTGGCCAGCTTAACTTTGTCTGAGCGAAGGGCTTCCGCGCCACTCGCTGCCAACAGAGCAGGGTAGAGGAAGCTGAGGAGATGCATGTTGTCGCAAGGCCGTGAATCAGAAGAGTGTTGGATGGGGATGGTTAAGACAACTCAAGTACCACTCTTGTGGCAAAAGCATGTGAAAGGACACGGTGGAGATGCCTTGTGCCTTGGGGCTGTGAATCTAGAAGCTGGCGGCGCCAGTGAATGCCGATGACGCACCGCCGAGGCCTTTACAGGGATGTACACACGCTAGTGCCGCTTCTGCACTAGCTCGCTTTACTCACATGGCATCGCGAGCATCACGCGTGGACAGACCTCAAACGAAACCTCCATCACAACGATCATGAAACAACGAATAACTTATGTGGTGACGAACCCAGAGCAGTTTACTCCTGATCAGCTTGATGTTAGCGAAGACAAATCTGGTCCGTACTTTGCTCTGGACAATGTCTCTGCTGCGAAGGAACACCGTATCACACTCGGCCTGAATGAGCTACCTGAAGAAGTATGTACAGCACCCACTCTCATATCCAGCAGAAGAGCGAACCTATCCTAACGGCATGTAGATAAGTAAAGTCTTTCAACAATGGCACGAACTACATCTACGGTGGACATCTCCAAGACCTTACGCATCTACTCCGCCATTCACATCACGTGTCTCCCCTGGTCTGCATGTCTTCTTCACTCCTCTATCAGATACACCTGAAGATGCACTATGCTCAGGCCTGCACTCCCTCATCTCCGCGGATCTGAAATGCACAACAACATCAGTCAGCTCTACCAAGATGCCAGTGCTCTCGGAGCGCTTCTCAATGTCGGCCACCTCGCAGTACTACAGCTATTTGGGTGACATAGAGAGAGTTACGGATTTCTTTGCAAAGACCGTCTGCAAAGGAGATGGAGACAGCTATTGTTTTGATGCGATCAATGCCTTTGCTCCGTCAGATTACATCGATGTGGACTACGATACTATCTCGAGAAGCGTTGTTTTAACAGCCGGATTGCCTAATGCAGGATACAGTGAGAAAGGATGGACAGAGAAAATCAGGCTGCCGAGCAAAGAAGCGACAGTAGAGATTGGAGTATTGAGTTTAGAGGGGAATGCAGATCCCGAAGATGTACAATTTGGAGGCTTCTTGACAGTGCTAGGACAAGATGACAAACCGAGTACGTATATTACTCCTACTAAACTATCTTTACCACGCCGTGATAGCAAGATGCTAACAACTCACAGAACCCACGCGCTTCCAAACCCCAACCCGGCACTATCCTCTCCTCCAAGCCTCAAACAACCCAACCGCACCACCCAAACTCCACCCTCTAACCTACAGCACCTCCTTCAGCCAACCAACCGGCCTCCACCCAACCCTCACCCTAACCTTCCCAGCGCACCACCTCACCCCGCCAGACCGCTCCTGCAAACTGCACACCCACCTGACCCTCCCCTCCTACCTCTTCATCGACAAATATCAATTCTCCGACGCCCTGTTCCTCAAAGACAAGAACCTAAAGAGCCTCCGTAGTCTAGCCGGAGCTACCGATCTCGAAGCTCCAGACTGGGTGGTACCGGCCTGGGGCTCCGCAGCGCTCTTCGAACTCGCCACGCCCAAACCGGAGAAGATCGAGTATCCCAAGGTCAGTCTGGGAGATGGGGAGGAGAGCGTGTGGGAGGACTTGCCGACGCATCGTGAGGTGCCAGAGGGGGACTGGAATGTCAGCATACCGTTGCATCTACGGTATATGCCTGCTCAGGCGTCGACTCATGCTAGACTGCCTGTCCCTTGGCCTGTTGTGTTTTGGGCTTGTCGTGCTGATTCGGGGGCGCAGCACACGTCTAATCCGTTTGATCGCTTGCATTTGGGGTATGAGGGCTTGTTTGGACCCAAGACTAGGTTCATGCATGTGGAGCCTAAGGCTTGGAATCAGACTGAATCGGGTGGATTGGTGGAGTGGATCGATTTGCCGGTGCTTGATACGAGGAAGGCTGGTTGGGTTGAGGGAGGGACGGTGGGTGTGGTTTTGTTCGCGTTTGTGGGGCTGTGTTGGGCGTTGTTTGGGAAGACTGGGAAGGGGGATGTTAAGGATGACAAGAAGACGCAGTAGATGGGTCAATGGTAACAGGGGGTATTGGTGGGTGTTGAGAGTATTAGATCTTATTGCTTTTCGCTGTCAACTCAGCGATTTCGTTTGGGTATCTTTCAATCAAGTGTTATGCCCTCCACGTGCTTCGACACTACTTTTCTTCCATATCTCGTACCACTGGTATCCAACCGCGCAATGCAATATCTGGCAAACCATGCTTCTTATCTCCGTCTCCAAAGTTCAGACTATCGTAATCGGCGTGTTGACAGGCATGCTCGACATGATGGGTAGCGGTGTTCCCGGGAAGATAGGATGCAGCGCATAGACCGGTCCTGAACTGTCTTCGCCATCAAACAGCATGAGGTTCTGGATGGGCTGTTCACGTTGTCCCAGCACGTTGATGACATCTTGAGCCAGCTGACCACCCAGGAAAGCCGTGACGGGTGCCAGTTCGCTACCCAAATTCTGCAGGAAGCTGCGAAGGACTTCAGCTTTGAGAGACTCGGCAGGAAGAAGCAGCTCCTTGTGCTTGATATTCGCAATGGTGGTGAAGATCTGAAGATCTGTCGGTGTATGCGAAGGGTAAATGCCATGACCGTTGCGCTGATACTCCCACAATGCGCGTATGCAGGTAAGTAGGGGATGGACTCTCTTCAGCCTCCTGGCGTTGTTTGCAATATCCGCAGGGAGTGGACTGTCCTTGACCAGCATCAACGGACTGTAGAGCTCCTGCTTGTTGACCAGCTCAATCACCTTTCCATTCTCCTTCTTGACCTGGACGCTCTTGATGCTCCTCGTTGTGCTCTCAGCGCCAACCTGTGTGTCGCGATTACTCTTCTCGCGCTCAATGACAAAGTTGTGCTCTACCAGGTCGGCGAAGATGTAGCCGTACATGCCGTGTGATGCGCCCGCGTAGAAGGGTTTCCGTGCTATGCGTGCGCCAGCGTTGACGGCGGAGGTGGAGAGGAAGTCCATGTCGGTGCATATGATGATGTCGTAGGCGGCGTAGAAGTTGAGATCTTGCTCGTTGCGAATGTCGGTGGTGAGGGTCTTGACGGTGACGCGCGGGTTGAGCTTCTGCACCTGGGGCAATGCTGCCTCTGCGCGGTTCTTGCCTACATCGGCGTCGCTGATCAAGAATTGCGCCCCCAGGTCGTCTTCGGTCACGACTTCGTGGTCTGCGAGGGTGATGGAGCCTATGCCGGCGAGGACAAGGTTCTTGGCGACCTCATTGGCGAGGGCTTTGATGGAGACGAGCAGGATGTTGGCGGTGCGGATCTTTTCTTGCGCCGCGACGCCCCATAGGCGGATTTGGCGGTCGTAGAGGGCGATTTCATCTGAGCGCGAAAGTTAGCACTGCTTTGACTGCCATTGCGTCGCGCTTACCTGCGGATATCTTGTCGGCTTCAGCGATGGCGGCTACCGTCTCGCCAGCTGCGTCCTCGGCAGGCAATGCAGCAGGCAGCGCGCCATTGGTCACTGGCGGAGGTACCGGGGACGGCTCGGTGAGATCAGTCATGGTGGTTGTCGTCGCGCGGCTATGTATGTCGAGGTGAAAGCACACGTAGATGCGAGATGTTGACTGCGCGATCACGCAGGGCAGTCAGATAGTTGGTGGACCGGAGCAAGACGCTTACTGCGTATGGGCTAATTCAAGCTGGACGGGCGTCTTGCAGATGGCCGAGTAAAGGCAGCTAGCGGTGACGGCATTACCTCGTAGCCTGCCTTTGCGGCTCTGCGGTGGCTCGTGCGCACCCCGCGTGCCAACCACACGGGACCGACTAGATGCGTTGCTTGTTCGTGGCCTCAGCCTCGACAAGTGCCGTCTCCTAACCTCTCACCGTAAACTACTAGTCTCTCCTCTGCTTGTGAGCCTAACCACTCGCCATATCTCGTCTCCTCAATGGGAGCGAGTGCCGACGTCACCAATGCCCAGACCACCCTCCTCTCCGTCCCCACCGCCTGCGCCTTTCCCACTGGCCTTCACGACGGGCAGCTTTGACTTTCCTCATGCCTCGACCTCGCCGCCGACCGTCTCTCGCTCTGCCTCTACGAGCGCATCAAGGAATGCGCTGCGCTCCCTAGACGAGCCCACGCCAGCCGCCTACGATGCGACGTCATCCCCCAGAGACCCTGCCAGGCGCGTGCGCACTCGCACGTCAACCAGAAGAGGTCCGCTGCACCGCCTATTTGGTCCCCCACGTGACAGCGACGCTGCAGACAATCTAGCTCGACGGCCTCCCACTGCAAACCCCAACCGACCTCGCGCTGTGCCGAGCGAAAGCTACCTCCGCCGCTCTCAGGCCCGCACGAGGGAACAGCGCTTGGCCGATATGGACGCCACCAACGATGTTCTTGACTCACTGAGTGACTTACCAACAAGCAATCCCTTTACCATCTCGAATACACAGACCCGGTCTCGTAGCCCCATCGTGCAGCTCAACAGCGAGCGCAGACATAAGCGAAGGAAGCTAGAACATGACAGTAGCGCTGCTACCGAGTACATGTGCTTCAAGTACGGCCACAAGGGCCAGGTAGTGCCTGGGCGTCTGCGCATGGAAATCATAAGTTGTGACGGCGGTGAGCATCGCAGAGACAACCCACCTGGGCTCTACAGGGTTCAGAACGTCTTGAGGAACGACAAAAGTGTATACTGCAGCGAGAGCTCCCAGTGCAATCTTCTCTTGAAACACATCGGAGAAGCTCCTTTTGCCTTGGAGAAGATCGTCATTCGAGCACCGGACCGTGGATTTACGGCTCCGTATGTGTCTCCGCTTCGTCTTTGATCATTGCTAACCTGACACCAGCGTTCAAGAAGGTCTTGTATTTGTATCCATGTCTGCAGATGAACTCCTTTCCGGCACCTCAGCCTACAATCTCCGCTACGACACGCCATCGCCACTGATGTCTCCGACGCCCAGCTCTCCGAACGAGGCCAATGAGCATATGTCATTGCGAGAGGCTCTTGAAGATCCTTCAGTGTGGCAATACTCAAATCAAGGCACTCGCGAGGACATGGAGGAACGCATCGAGAATCTTCGACTCCGCAGTGAGAGGTTGAATGCCGAATCTGCGAACTGGATATCGTCTTTGCGCTCCGACTCTGAACGTCGGCGGATAATGCGCCAGATGGTAGAACACGAAGACGAAGCAGACGGTGACAACTGTGACCACGCAGCAGATGACCCTTACAGCGGCCCCGCTGGCATTTCCGCACCTACCCCACCGCCTTTTACCGTTACTACTGCGGCCAGCGAGGATGAAGATTCGGACTCAAACGAAGAAGCACCTAGTGCTGCTATCATGGCCGACCGCCTTCGAAGAGAAAGCCGCTGGCGTCCAGATAGCGAGGACGATGACGATGAGGTCGTTCCTCGCCTAGGTCCGCTGCGTCGCGCGCCGGCTCTCGACTACAGTACATACAGCGAATGGCGGGAGCGGAGAGAGCGCTATCTCGAGCCTATTCGAGCGTCTCGTGTAGCTGCGCCCAGCCGCATTGAACCTTCCGAACGAACTCATGACGAGCCACTCATCCCTCCCCATGCGCGGTTCTTCATTGCAAAGAATAAGAATAAGATCACAATCAAATTTCACCCTGCAATGTAAGTTTGGGTCCAGCCCCTTCAGGGAACCATTCGTTTATTAACGTATTCCTCAGTTCAGGAAGACACGTTCTTCTCAAGTTCTGGAGCCCGAAACACGACGGCAACATTGACATTGAAAGTGTTCAGTTCTACGGGTATTCCGGACCCCGCTACTTCCCGGCCGTGCAGGCTAGGTAAAGAGTACGTGCTGTTGTAAGGTTTTACATCACATCCGTACTTTTGAGGATCATGTTGGTATGAGTTAGAAAAAAAGACAGGCACTTCTCTCACCGTGTTGTTTGGAATGTGCCCTAGTAGTAGGATGTGCAGTCTTCGAGTGGCAATGATACCCGGGTATGACACACGAATGTGTGACGATTGATTTGGAGCATTTGGAGTTGCGTGGATGGACTGGTACGTGACGGAAGAGCTATAAATACATTACATTCTTTTACCATTTCCCTGCCACGGTAAACGGAGAATTGTCAGTTGAATTAATTGCCTAGACCTGTGATGAAGGAACAGGCGTCGTTACCGCTGCAGACCAGGATTGAGAATGTAGGAGCGGCCGGGGATAAGGGCCGATCTGCTATCCCCGTAGGAGATCAGGCTACATGAACTGCTTCAGTCACAGGAACTTCAAGCAACAACAGCCATCAGTCATCACGATAGCTACGTATCGACTACAGTACCTATGAGTTTCATCTCCATTCAGCAATGGCGCATCGGCCCATAAACGCACATCAGGAGGCTCCGGCTTCGTTCACGAAATGTGGGCTCAGCCGCGGCCTTCGACGTCTACGCTTTTTGTGGGAAACCCAGCGAGGCAACACATAGCCCGACTTCTCTGTTAGGGCTACTCAAGAGCATTCATTGTGAGCCAAGACCCTGAGTTGTCTTCGCCAGTTTCCGTAGCGATCTACGCAAGAGCACAACATCACCTCATGTCTTTCTCAACATCAATACTGACACTTCACAGAACTCGGAGCGTTCATGTACAGCGTATGTGATATTTCAAACGCCCAACACCTAGACTGAAACATTGCAGCCGTCGATATCAGACGAAACGCCCCAGGATCGTCTTATTGTGTCGTGTATGCACCCAACTCATTACCCTCTTCGACATATGGAGCGAGAACCAACCGGCTTGTGTAAAAGTATCTTAAGTCTTTCGAAACGATATGCAGGTTTCAGTATTCCTCAGTTTCTCATGAAGCGGCCGAGTGATGCTAAGACGTCAAACATCCTGGCGTCACAGACATGGGTGCTTTTGTAACCTCATTCTAGTGTGCCCGATCTGCACTTCTACCAGTGGAAGCACCCAATGTAATCGGAACGACTCGACGCTCCACAAACAGCTGGTTTTGTGGATCAAAGCTTGGCTCAGTGAGCAGGGCAGCAAGTATAGAATACAAGCCTCCCCACGGACGAAATGCT